GTTTAGGGTTTAGGGCGTATCAACTACATGAAAGCGTCGAGAAAACATCCATTCCCACTGCCGACGGGAGCCGTCCAGCCGGTGTCCGAGGCACGAAAGGATTTGGGCTAGAACAGAAGTCCTGCCCGCAAACCCTCAACCCAACCTGCACAACTGATCAGTCCAGACAAACCCATTTTAACCGCTGACTAGCACTGAGAGCGCCAAACGCTGCCGTGTTGAATATTGAATACCGGTTTTCGGTTCTATCAGGGCTCGTAGCTAAGGATTCAAGTACGTGGCTAGCTAATCTTGCAGCAACCTCTTGCAAGGTGTAGTTATGCAGGTCTAGACCCTCAAATTTTCAGTGGCCCAAGGTTTTAGATCCGTGGGCCCTGCACTTTTTTGGCAGCTCGGCCTTGCAAGAGTAATCCTTTCTACGGATGCCCCAGGAAGAAAGCACTGCTCGCCCCTCAATGCCAGCAACAAGGAGCTCACCTCCAAACTTTAACCCCTAAAGGATCCGGAGGACCTAGTATTCACGAAGTTGGAATTAGGACAAGGGTTTTGTAGGCTAGTAAGTGGGAGAGTCCGTTGGGTAAGGTCCGAAGCCAAATTACCCTGAACTCCCTAAACCCTACTCCTCCCAACATACTGCGCCAGGACACGCAAGGGGTGAGGTTCTGGTAGTTCGGCAGAGACTGTTTTGATCGGCAGGGCCTCAGCTGTCGGATTTGCATGACAAACCCTGAACCCTAAGTCCTGAAACCCCAAACCCTATAACCCTCACCCCCCAAACCACATTGTCAGTGCTTTCTGTTGTGGGGGGGGGGGGGCGGAGAGGGGGGTTGGGATTAGGGCCAGTCGGGCCTCCAGCGTTGTCTGAGGTTTATAGGTTCTAAGACTTTTAGGGTTTGGGGTTTACATCGGCGTGGAAGCCGCAAGGGAAGAGCCATAAACGTCACGTCAGGGCGTGAGCCACAATGACACGCTTGTCATTCTGGGTCTGGGTACCCCAGGCGGTGCGGTTTAGGGTTTACGGTTTAGGGTTTATCATAGGGTTGGGAAATCGAGACCCCGTGCTACAACCTAAAATTTTCCTGCAGCAGCAGCCTTATAACGCAGATAAGAGAGAGGCCTTAATCATTGGAATGGGCTTGGGGCTTATTATACTGAAACTCTGCGGGGACGAGAAGGGGATTACATTACGTACGAACTACTTGTTCCGACCGCTATAGCATACGAGCCGTCTCATCAGCAGCTCCTGTAAACGACTCGAACCACGGCATGTACCTCCTCATCTGTTTTCAGTAGCTTTGATGTAAACCTAAGAATACGAAGATCAAGTCCCCAATTTAGGGTCAATGGTTTAGGGTTTCGATCATGTCATTACCTTGTGCTACCACCGATTAACAGCACGCCTAAATTCCATGCACCGCGGAATTAAACCAACCTCGCCTTTGGTTTATGCGGGTGTTACCCCTAAGGGTCCGTGTACCCAAATAGTAGATACATTGGCCTTAAAGTAGTCCCTATATAGGTACCTTGGGGCCAATGTATATACTATATGAATACATGGACCCTTAGGGTAAGGGCACGCTCGCACATACATGGACTACAGTAGAGCAGGGAACCTATCAGACATCCAGTGTGGAATTGCAGCCAACACCGACACCCCTCAAACAGAACATACGACCCTCCCGGCAACTAACCTGGAACGTCAAGTTTGGAAATGGAGACGGCGCTTTGTAGCACCTCTTGTCGGATTATTTAGTTCAGTTCCATGCAGACGAGACTTGTAGGCACACAGACAACAAGGGGTGCTGCAGGGTCCAGGTATGTTTGTTTTTATGGCGAGGCTGCGTACCCCTGAACCCTCGAACGGCACCAGAACAACCTACCATCCCATTTCTGCAGATGCTGCGATCCGTAGAATTAAAGGGAAACGGCGGTATGTGTAGGGTTCCACACAGTTTTCTGCGCAAGCGATTGCCGAAAAGATCACATCGGCTGAGGCAAAGGCGGCAAGTGCAGCACAGAGGTGTAGATCTGCATGGCAGTCCCAGGCGGACCCGAACCGTTGAACCCTGCCTGCTACACCTGAGCAACCCTGAACCTCCAACTCCTCTCTGCAGCCACTTCCAGCTACCAATGAATCGTTAAGTGGCAGAAACAAAACAGTGCCAAACAGCTAAGGAATACATAAAAGGGGGCGCTGAGTACAACAGTCTTTGGACTTTGGATGTTTGGCAAGATGAGAAGAGGATCTACCAGTAAGTGAAAGAACACAATGAAATCACATCAACATATACACATATATATATATATACACATACACACCTGCATCTGTACACAAAGAAATATGGATCACACCAACTGTCAACCTGCACGCAACATTGCTCTCTGAATGGTAGCTTCAAGCCAGCACGCCCTGCATCTAAGTTATCTACCTGAGAAGATGATCGGTTAGCTAAGACTCCTCTATGACCCATGGACCAACCCTCCATTGAACAGTTCGTCCTGAATCCTGCTCATGACGCGAGGATCCCATCCCTAAACGCAAAACCCCAATCCCTGAACCCTAAACCCTGAACCCTAAACCCTAAACCCCAATCCCTGAACCCTAAACCCCAACCCCTGAACCCTAAACCCTAAACCCCAATCCCTGAACCCTGAACCGAAAACACAGGCAGGCCCTAGGCCTAGAGGGTAGATGGAGGGTCCAGCTATACTGCGAGCATGCCAAGGAAGCCTCTGACTAAGGAGCAAAGGAGCAACTCAGATTAAGGCCTTTTCAGACCCCTACGAGTTTAAAGTTCGGGGCTTAGGGGTTTTTAGGGTTAAGGATTTGGGGTTTTAAGGTTTAGGGTTTAGGGTTTTAGGATTTGGAGGCCTTATGTTGGACCGGCAAACTTCACCTCGAGTCCCAAGACACCAGCAACCCCAAGCACAAAATCTGAAATGCTGCCCCTATGGACCCTGAGCCCCAGACGGTAGCTCCTACACACCTTAACCAAAAACCGGTTACTCCTCATATCTTAACTCTCGATCGCAATTCCTATCATCTAAACCCCAAACCCCCTAAACCTCTAAACCCTAAACCGTGCCCTGAACCCTCAACGTCTCTCTCCCTTCAGGCGCCTGCATCTGCTCTGGCTTTGCAAGGCCTCTGATGTCTTCTCAGTTTAGGGTTTAGGTTTTTTCGGGCTTAGAGATTAGGGTTTAGGTTTTATAGGGCTTAGAGTTTAGGGTTTAGGTTTTAAGGGTGTAGAGTTCAGGGTCTAGGTTTTATAGGGCTTAGAGTTTAGGGGTTAGGTTTTAAGGGCTTAGAGTTTAGGGTAAAGGGTTTGAGGCTTAGGGTCTGATAGGGTTTAAGGCTTCTGGCTTGGAGTTTACAGGGCTTATAAGTATGTTGATAAGGCTTAGGGTTCAAGGTTTTAGGTTTAGGGTTTACCTGTAAGTCTGCGCTGTAGTAGTCTCTGGCTCGGTTCACTCAACATGTTTGATAGCATCCTAGCATAACCATTGTGCTGGTTCTATAACAGACGAAGAAGCACACTGCACACTGTAGGTAGGCTTCGTTTCGAAAAGCTTTCAGCCTTGCTGCCAAACCCAGAGAGTGTTCGATCGAGTTCGGGTTTGAAGGCTAGGGCCAGGGCTTCGGGCATACACCACGCGCCAGAACACAAGAAACAGAGACAGGACCCTGTCGAGTCTACGCGCAACCAACCCAGGTTCAGGGTTTAGGTTCGGGTCACGATTTGGCTAGCTGACATTTTGTGGCTATAGCGTAGGATTTAGGAGTTGAGTTCACGTTTACGTCTAACAGCGTGGGCTCGCAACGAGCTACGGCAATTCCTTCGCGTAGAGGAAGACCACTACGGCTATGGGGCTTCGGGAAAGGGTTCGGTTTGTTTAGGGCTTATGGCTCAAGGTTTAAGCAGAGTTAAGTGGTAAAGTCAACCCTAAACCCTAAACCCTAAAACCCTACAACCCTAACACCCTAAAACCCGGAACCCTAAACCCTGGTAAAGTTATCTCTGTCTTGGGGGCGAGAGCATTACGTGATGGCTAGCGGCGGTGGAGAGCAGGAGGTTCAGAGTTTAGGATTTAGGGTTTAGGGTCCAGTTTAGGGTTTAGGGTAGGAGACAGCGCCAATTACTAGGATGCCGCCAAGTAACCTAGGATTAATAAGGGCCCTTACTCGTGTGCGGTATTCGGTACCTTATTTTAAGGCCCTAAAGACTTGAAAAGGGGGAAAAGGGCCACTGGAAGACCTAGGCAAGGCCCTAAACCCTAAACCCTGAACATCCCTAAACCCTAAACCCCAAACCTTAACCCTCTATTCATAGGTGCCTTAATACCAAGATGTTGCGTATAACTCTTCGTCAAGTCGCTTGCATCGCGGGCGCGCGTTGCAGAGGCCTGTGGCTGGTAGCAGAGTCTGGGGTATTTATAATCTACTACTATCAATATAGGGGTTTAGGGTTAAGGGTTTAGGGTTTAGGGTTTAGGGTTAATATGCTATAATGTACATATGTATGTATATATCTATGTATATATATATATATATGTGTGTGTGTGTGTAATACTACAAGGTACTATAAAGCATTGTAATAGTCTTGTAAAACATTATACTATAGACTGTACTATAATATATGTAACGCTACAATAGATCCTCACATTCTACTGACTACAATACACTAGGAGACAGTATGATATACTGCAATGTGACATTTGTCTGGAGCTTTCGGGGTGGAGGGGAGGAGCGAGCAGCCTCTAAACAAACCAAGATGCCGCGGAACTGGCAGCAGCAGAATGACAACCTTTCCGCAATAATGTCCGTCTTTTTAAGTGAAGCCTAGGAAGCCCTAAGGCTCCATGTGCCCATATAGTAGAGACTTAGACCTGAAAGTACCTGTATAGGAACCCCTTTGAGGCCTAAGTATATACTATATGGGTACATGGAGCCTTTGGGAAGACTGCCAGTTCAGACTTCCACTACCTGAAGTGTCCTTATGCACATGACATGGGCCTGTGTCCGAAATCAGAGCAAACCCCTCCCATCGTCTCAACAATTCTGGCTTCGAAGCGTAAGGCGTAAGCCCAGTGTCGTAAACTTTCTGCAGAACATCCTGAAACCATGCAAAACCCTCTGAACCCCAAAGGCTGTTCTTATCCTAGACCCGGAATCCCGAATCCTGACGCGGACGGCGAAGCTCTCCAGCCACGTAACGTCCCAAGCCTACACCGACACAGCATGCCAGTTATTCTAGGATGATTTAACTACGTGAAGTCGGATAAACACCTGAGCATTCTCCCGCATCAGTTCAAAGTGAACAGGGCCCGCTAGTGACCCTTGCCCACAAACACCTCCATGTCCTTGGTCTCCCCCTCCATAGCAAATGAAGTTCCTGGCGCGACGAAAGCTTGCAACGGGAAGGTTTTTTTTTCTCCGCTATGCTTTCCGTCAGGATAATTATAGTTTTATAATTCTTAAGACAAGTAGATAATCCGGACACGCACACGCACACACACACACACACACACATATATATATATATATATATAGACAGATAGATAGATAGATAGATAGATAGATAGATATGGAATTGTCTGATGTTCATTCGGTTGAAACTTGGCCTTTTTATAAAGGTTTGGGGGTATGGAGTTTTATAAAGACGAGAAGGCACCTTTTTGCTAATTAGATGGCTGGGGAGTATGCCGACAACACTTGTTGTCCCCAGGGGTCCATATGTACCTTGGCAGTACAAGGAGGTTCCTCTAGTACCGGGCCAACCTATGTACTGTACAAGTACGTTGGGTTTAGTTGGACTCTTTGGGGATGATGATGACGATGATGCCCACTAGTCTTAGAAAAAAATACAATGGTTCAAGCTTTTTTGCCTTTGGAGCAAGATAGGGCAGCCCAAGAACGATTGGGAAAGTTAAGCACGAATGGTCGTCTCACCCAGACCCTGAACCCTAAACCCGGACACCCTGAACCCTAGGCAGAATCAGGCCTAATTACCATCACGGCTTTGGGGTTCCTTGTTATGATTATAGTCTAATATACCCCAAAACTCTAAACCCGATTCTAATTATCAAGGCCCCTATATCATGTTCTATGTGAGTGATGGGGCACCTAGGAAATACTATCCAAACTGGCAGTGTGCCATAACTGAGAAATTGCGAGTGCTGAACACCTGGTCACAAGATCACACAAAACAGTGCATTTCCCCAATACTGTGCTACGCACAGGGCCTTTTTCGAAGCAGGCTTCAAGCTTCAGCATACTATATGTTCTTAACTTTACCCTTCATTGCCCTACGCAACGAGTCCTGAACCCTATGATTTATGAATCCTAAACCGAAGCCCTACATTAGTGGGGATCCAGTACTCAGAAACCCTAGCAACCGAGGGAGATCAAGAGTCTTTGGCAAAGGTTCTACAAGGGTTGTAAAGGTTGGGCATTGCCCCCGCACAGCAACAGTCTATAGCAGGGCTACTATTGCGGGACTTGTAGATATTGTCTGTTCCTGAGCGGGGACAGTATCCAATGTGTAGGATCTTCCAAAGTATCTTTAATGGCTGTGGGAATTCTTTCAAGGACTCTGTAACAGTTTCGACGTTTCGATCACTCAAGCATGCTAGGAAGACGATAGCGGAAAGGGCCGCAGCTGGGTCCCTGGCCCTCTTGAGCCACAGATGTCGGGCAAATTTGGCTCTTTGGGATCTTTAGGGTTGCTGACTTTGTGAGAGACTAAACTCGAGGCCTTGGGATGTCCTACAATCCCATGTCAAAATTCCAACACATCCCAAGACTAACCTTGCACCGTCAATGCTAATAGCTAAACCCGAAGCCCCGCCCAAAATCCTAAACCATGGGCCCGATGGCCTCATGTCCCAAGCAATGTCCGGGGACAAAGTACAGACTGTCGGGATACTTGGACGCTTGAGCTTAACCCCCAAACCCTAGAACAGCTGGGAATCTAGAACCCCAAACAATGCGTTTGGGCCCGATGGGCTCAGTTCAGATACGCACCGAGTCCCTGCAGATCCGGTAGCATTTTTTTTGAGAATCTGGGGTTTGAGGACACTAAACCCTAAACCCTAAAACCCTAAACACTAAACCCTAAAATCTTAAGCCCTTTAGGGTTTAGGGCTACGGTTGAAGGTGTTATGGTCTGCGGTTGATATAAGAACGATGTTCGACGTACCGACGTCGGCATGGTAGAGCAGTAGCCCTGAGGGTCCATGTACCCACATAGTATGCACTTTGCCTTTAACGTAGGCCCAAAGTATGTCCTATTTGGGCACATGAGCCGTTACTTGGAGGTTCATGGGTAGGTATAAGTGTGGTTATAAGTCCCCTAAGTGGGGTTGCAAGTACGGTTACCCTATTTAGAACCCTACTTATAACTACCCATGAGCCTCCAAGTAGGGTAGGGTTGAACAATTTGACTTCAGAGCTGGGTGCCTTCTGGTGGACTTCGAGGCTTCAACCGAACCCTTTAAAGGTGCAGAGCTCGGGGTTTATGTGCCTTAGCACTGAGAATAAGTTCTGGGGTATTCGAGTCTTTCCAAAACGACTATGAGGTATAGTGAGAGAGAGAGAGAGAGAGAGAGATATATATATATATATATGTATGCAGTTATGCAATGGTACTCCTTCCGACCCCTGTATTTCCGGATCCCAACATGGGGAGGATTGCTAGACCGCGAACACACAGCCCTGCACTGCAAGCGGTCAGGATGCATCACATAAACTGGAAGAAGCACAGCAACACCACTTCATGGCCCTGGACCACGCCCTGAGCATAAAACAAGACCTTGGGTGATAAAGCGTAATATGGAGATGTTAACTAAAATTAATACGACTCCTGTATTAGACAATGTGTCGTTTTCTGCCACACTGTTCGCGCAATCCTTCTCGCAGCAGGAACGGCTCACAATCTTTAGAAAGATTGTGGACCCCATCCCTAAACCGTAAGCCCTGGACCCTAAACCCTACCCCTGCGCGACAAAGCTTAAATGTCCAAGACGCCCTGCAAGCCTAACGTAGATCGATTTGGGGTTTGGGGTTCGGTTATATCATAACTCCCCATAGACCCTTAACCATCGGACGGACTTCTAGGGCAGCTTCAAGCCACCAAACGATCGAAACAGCCAATAACGGCATGCGGGGGGTTGTTCCAAATTTAAGGACAATTCCTAGTGAAGTACATACATGGAGGCCCAAATTTTGGACAACCCCCATGTCCGTCGCACTTCACTCTACTCAGCAGCCAGGTGACTGCAAAGGAAATCTACCATTCTATTGGCTAGTTCTCTAAATGAGGTCCTTTTTAGGTCCCCAAAATAGTACGGCAGCCTTTCTGATAAACAGGACCCTATGCAAAAGGGACCCCCAAATATCCAGACAACTACCCTCCTGAACAAGCATCCAGGGTGTCCGCTGGGCGGAGAAAGTGCGTACGGTCCGGAGCGGGCCTCCCACCTGGCGGCTCGACTGCCACCTTCAGCTCCCTTCATGTACATTCATTGCCTAAAACCTGAACCCTAAACCCTACACCCTAAACCCTAATACGCAGAATGAGGTTTGGGGGTATATACTCATAGTATATAGCTGTGATAAGGAAACCCAGTGAATCTACAAATTATCGGTGGACCTACTTCTGCTTGGTGGAGTCTCCAAGCCTACAGCCCCTACAGCAAAAGCCCTGAACCTTACAACCCAAAGCCCTTACCCATAGGCCCCATAGTAGTTCCTTTTTGGGTTACCTTTTAGGATTCTAAATATGAACCCCGAAAAGGAACTACTATGGGGCCTGTGGGTGACCCTATGCTCCAAGTGCTGAGCCCTAAAACCACGCCGTGCGCCGCAAGCCCAGCCCTCACAACTGTAATGTAGGGGCCTTAACAATTAGAACAGGGTTCCTTTAAAGGGTTCCTCAGAAAGGGATACTATAGCGGTTACTATGAGGGCTCTATGTAGGGGCCTGAATAATTAGAATAGGGGTCTGGTGGTATGTTTTGCAATCATCTACTGCAATTATGTTGAAACATAATCCGGAGCCTGAAGGAAGGCTATTGGCAATTACTTTGGCAATGGCCTCGAAGATTTCCGACTGTAGAAACATGATTCATCCAGGGGTGCTCACAGCTGCCATAGTCCTTAAGCCAGGGTGCTGTAGGGTTCTCTCAACCCTACACCCTGAACCCTAAATCATGTGGGCTTTGAGGGACCTCGGTGGATCCGTTCGCAGAGCCGAAATGAAGAAAAGAGACAGTGTTTATGCGTATGCCTGGTATATTTACTAAGACCTGAATCCCAAACCCGTGAATCCATGCCTATCAGCTGAGCCCTAGAACCCTAAACGTCAGAACCTCTATCTCAAGAAACCTCGAGCTCGACATCACCAGAAGAATGGCATCCATCATACGTTCCCTAAAGAAGGGCGAGGCGTCAGAATATCGCAAATAAACCATCTCCAAATTCTCTGCAAACCTATTGTATAACACTCGAAAGAAATCCAGCGAAACCTGGCCGACAACCAATATCAACCCCAAACCCTAAACCCTAAACCCCTAAACCCTAGACCCCCACTAAACCCCTAAACCCTTAAACCTCAACCGCTGCTCGGAAGGTGCGTCGAATCTGCAAGGCTCGTAGCCCGGCCCAGCCTACTGAGACTGTTCCCAGAGACTCCAAACCCTTCAGTTAGCCGATATCATCTGACCTTGACACCCCCCCCCCCTCCGCCAAAAAAAGATACCTCCTTCAAAGGAAGTAGTAGAAAGTTCATAACAGGGAATCTGACAATAGGTACTAGTAGGTCTTTTAGGTAACCCTAAACCCTAAACCCTTAACCCTAAGATACCTTCCTTGATTTAGGGGTTTGGAGTCTCTGGGCTGTTTGATGACAGACAGAGAAGGGTTCATTCAGGATTCTAGGGATTATAGGGATTATAGGGTTTAGGATTCTAGGGGTTAGGGTTTGGGATTAGGGATTAGGGTTTAGGACTCTAGGGAATTAGGGTTCATAGGGGTTAGGATTCTAGGGATTAAGGTTTGGGATTACCGTCAGGCTTTAGATTTATAGTGCTTTGGGGTTCAAGGTACTGCGGAGAAGGGAAATGAACCCTCAACCCTAAACCTTAATCTCTAAACTCAGCTAATCCCTAAACCAAATAAACCCTAAACCCTAAACGCACTGGACCATACAGCAAACCTACATAAACCCTGTACCTTTGTATCCTTTGGCCACGTTACTCAAATGTAGATGTGCATTTTATTCAGGCAGTTGGGTTACCCATAGGCCCCATAGTAGTTCCTTTCTGCGGCTTCTATTTAGGATACTATTAAGTAATCCCAAAAAGGAACTACTAAGGGGCCT